ACTTGGTCAAAAATATCTAAAAAAAAAAAATTAAATGGTTGTGAAGAAAACAACACACACACACAATCCACATATAACAATAAATGAACCAACAAACCCAGTGGCTTGCCTAGATTTACTACAAATAAGCTAAATAGTAACAGGACATAATCTTACCCAAGCCATTGTTAAAAAATTAATAATTATCATTTTATTTGGGAATATTTTCATTTGAGTGCTTTTCACTGTGGTGAACTTCAACCTCAAGAATTTTTAAATGACAAAAAATAACATGATTAAAGTCTGAATAAAACTGTTCTGCAAGGCTATGATTGCCATCTTGCCAGACTGAAGGGTTCTTAGGAGTAGGGTTGGTTCTTTCAGCTCATTTGCATTTTTCTACATATGCTTTCCAGGCTATAGAGCTCTGGAAATATTTCTTGCCTTAAGTGGTGATGGCGAAACAGAAAGGAGACTCCAAACCCATTAGATTAAAGAGAAAGAACCTCATTGCAAAAACCAGGTCTTATTTCTTCCCTGAACATTTAAAACAAGGAGGTGACTTTAAAACATTTATTTTGTTCCTTGCTTGACAAAAGGGGAAATAGCCCAGAAGAGGCTTTTCAATGCCTCTTCACGACATACATTTTTTCTTACTTTTTTATATAACAGTAAAGAGGGTATTATACGACAAGGAGTAACTAAACTAACCTGTTTCCTCAATTAGCCAGAGTGAGTTTTCTAATAGTTACCTAGTCATTACAGTTCCCAAGTCCTTTTCAACCTTATAACCATCCCCTGGTAGGCATCTCTCCTCTAATCAGTTGAAGTGAGATATTTAATATTATTTTTTAAAAACACTTTGTGTTCTCTCTTCCTGGAAGCCATCATATACTCTTGTGTCTAGAATGCTGACCTTCAATCATCCTGTACATTTTTTTCTTTTAGATTTTAACTGTTTTGTGTAGTTGGAATGTACATAAAAATAAAGAAAATAATATATAAATGACAATCTGTGTTCCATCTATAACTGAGAGGTATTTAATACCTTAAGGATTCAAATAGACATTTTTACATTTTAAGAACAGTTTTAAATTGATGAGTGGCATGTGTATCCAGACAACGGTTGTTGCCATACCTCCTGTCTGCAGCCTCTTTCTAATACAGGGGGCCACCTCCTTAAAATAGTCCCATTCCCATGCATTAAAAAAAGTTTTTACTACATGTGTTTATTTCCATTAGTAGCACATCTATATTTTTTTCTTTGACATTAGGAAAGTCAAGATATTTTGTATATAAAATGCACAATGTTATTCCTATAAACAGGTAACTATATCATTGGGGGTTGCCCTGTTTTGTGGGTTGATGTTTATTACAAAATATATAGGTAATATCAGTAACAAGATAATGTAGTCATAAACTCAGATCAGAGCTTGGAGTCTTAGAGATAAGCTACTTTAATAGTAGTGTTGATTTACCCATTCCGAAGGTCGTAGATGTAGTATGTCGCTGTGTATGAGTATCGCCAAAGCTGTTAGGAAAAGAGATAAAGACAGAGGACAAAGTTTTAAAGCTCTTTAAAATAACAATACGAAATGATAGATTTTTACCGGGCTCTGGAGGAGACTCGTTTCAATGCAAAGCAGGGTTTCATTTACTTTTACTCTATACTTTGTGCGGTTTGTTCAGGTTCCAGGGGACACCTCAAGATGATCCATCAAAAGAATATGCAGAGTCATTTCATAGTATAAAAAAAACTTATTTATTGACACACTTTGTCCTCAGAATGTTCCTCTATATTGAAGGAAGGCCTCTATGATGTTTATAACTTCTAGTGTCCGCATCACACCTTGGTAAGAATAATACTCTTTAAAATTGGTTACAAGGAATTTCACAGGACAGCCTGTTACAAATGTCTTCCTTTCTTTGGGCATATATATTTAAACCAGGGAACTTGAAAAGTAAATACAAAAGTTTAACTTAATATTCCTATTGAACAAAGTTGGCATTTATCTACTTGAGCATATGCCAGGCTTAGTCAATTAAGCAAGCATTGTTTTGGGTTCTGCTTCCTAAAGGACTTTCAATCTCTCAACAAGCTCCATTAGGTTGAAATGCATATCTCTGAGGATTTGGGTCACAAGGACCTGGGCTACTAGAGAATAAGCCCTTGACTGGCAACCTGATAGTGGTCAGAATGACCTCCTTGTTGGAATAGGAAGGAAAGCTTAACAGGGAACTTCATCTCAGGGAAAATCTGAAATGTGTAGTCAAAGCAAAAACTTTTGCTTTTCCTTTTCCGTCCTTCTTTCCTCCCTCCCTTCCTTCCTCCCTCTCTTCCTTCATTTTTTCCTCAAGGAAATAGTTTCAAAAGAAACTACTAGAAGTTTAATTTGAAAGTAAGTTACTTTATGCTTTTATCACATATAGAGAGAAGAAGTGAGATAACTATCATCTATCTACCACTTATTCATTCAGGAAGAGAAAATTAAATACCAGTAACACTAAAGGATTAGGCTTTCAAACATGCAGAATCTGAGCCCTCTTCTATTGTATATTGACTGTATATTCCTATATTGATATATGAGTTATTATGCTACACCTTGATTCTTCTGTTTGGAACATCAGTATAGTTTTGTGAGATTAAACTGCACAAGAATTCACTAATGTGTTATGACAACAAAGACTGCTAGAAGTACCAGAATAAGTATTCCTTTTCTGATGGATAGCAGTATGCCCAAATGAAATTTTCTTACCTCTGAAAAACAAATGAACAAACAAAAGTCTCCCAAAAACAAAACAAAAACAACAACAAAAATTCCCAAAAACCAATGGTTTCTGTTACTTGATAACCAGATAAAGAGACTAAAGAAATGCCAAATATAAATTATTGTGTATGTGTCAGCAATGCTTTATTTGTTCATTGATTTCTTAGATGTTTAGTGATAGATATAGACACCTACTGTAGAAGCCTCCTCTCCTAGTTTCAGTTTAATTGTCCTACTTTTATACACTACCCTGCATGTTAATGGGAGGAATAATTATCCCTTTATATGTATATATATCAAAATTAAGTAGTTTATACCTTTGAGTAATCACTTTCTAGATATGCAAATTGCCGATCAGGTGACAAGCCATAATCTGAAGCATTCACACTTTTCTGAAATTATGAAGAAATGGGTTAGAATATAGAAAAAAATACCAATCATAATTTTTTGTTCTAAAGGAATATCATATCATTGATATACTCACATACAATTTCAATGCAATTAAAAATGCAAAAAAAGTGGATCCTATACCTAGTACAAATGAGGGGATTTATTAGACACTATGGAGGATATAATAAAGAAAACCACAGCAATTTCAAAAGCACATAGTAATAAATCTTGCAGATGAGTGACAACGCAAATTAGAAAGTTTAAAAGTGAATCAGTACAACATTGCGAAAGCATTAAAGGGAGAGTGAGGGAATTGAAAGGAGAGGATAACTGGTTACACAGCCTGCAAGGATATCCTCTCAGTTTGAAAGACTAGTGGGTCTTCTAAGGTAGAGATGTGGGAGGTTTGAAAATCCAGGAAGAAAGAACAGCATGAACCAAGCACCGTAAGTACCATTCATTCAACATTTATTCTATGTTAAGCAATCACTAAGCACTTTTCAATGTTACTTGATTTAATCTTTACATTAGCCTAAAGAAGGATTGTTGCCCTCACTTCATAGTAAAAGAAAATGAGGCATAGCAAGCTGGGGTAGTGTGGTAACTTATCCAAAGTTTCATGTTAGCGATAGGAATTAAATCTCAGTTCACTTGATTCTAGGTTCCTTTTCATAACTTATACCATATTACTTGGACAAAGAGAAAAGGTACTATGGGATAGAGCAGAAGAGAGGGCCATGGTTCAACACGTCTAGAAGACACTGGAGATGGTGGGAAGACAGGTTGTATCCAGATCACCATTAAGAATTTGAATGTGGTTCTGAGTCAGTGGGATGTTTGCAAAGGTTTCTGAGGGATTCGAAGATGCTGATACATACCATGGTACTATTGCTCAAAATGACATATGATTCTCTTGTTTCGACATTATAAAATACTATGTTATCATCCGCAGATTGATGAAGATACTCTTGTGCTTCAAGTGAAAAAGAAAACAAAACATAAAATGACCACTCTTAAAGAAAATATTCATAACAAAAGAACCCCCTCTGCACCACAGATATACCTGGCTTTCGTCCCTCTTTAGCACATAGAAGCTGAAGATGGGAGGGACTAAACTACTCTTTCTGCATCTCATAAAGATGGCACATTTGCTAGCCGCAGCCCTTGTTCTAACTGATTCAGGCTGTTCAGAAATAAAATGTCATTTTCTCTGAGCTGTGAAGAGGACAAACTAATTTAAAATGGCGAGTTTCTTTTGTAATAATAAAATAAATATAATCTGGGATTTGTTTTGATTTATTGTAATAGATACATTACATGAAATTTCCTTTCTAAAGAGAAAAATGGCAATGCTCTACCTTTGTTTAAAAAAAAAAAAAGACCCGTTATATATACAAGTATAATGCCATCTACTTAATTTTATCATTTTTTTGGTTAGACCTCATTGATCATACTCTAATTATAAAAACTATAAATATCAAGTCTGTAATCCTTAAAGGTCTATTTGTCAGGGAGGAAACTGGCTTGCTCTTATATTGTCTAGATCAATGATAGACTCTCCCTTTGGGTAAAATTCTCATGACTCCCCCTATTTAAGAGGAGTTTCCTGCTTCCAGGAGCAATGTTCCCATACAGTGTTTCTAAGTTCTGCTTTCCTGCTAAGATTCAAGGTAGTGTCACAACAATTGTGCAAGTTCAAGGTGAATGGGTATGTAAAAGTTTCCCTGAAGATTCTGAATAATTTGTCTCCATTCATTTCTATTGGTGAACAGCAGTCCACCTATTATAAAAGAGCCTTGGCACCAACAACAAAAAGAAGATATATTTTACAAACTCCCAGAAGATAGGAAATGATTCTTTCACCTGAAATCCAGTTTGGAAAAAATGTTTTATACGAGAATGTTCCGTTTAAAATATCCTTCAGAGTGAGAGCTCTCCTTGTGTTTCTTTCAGGGTTGTGGACTTAGGGGGAGAAAAAGAAAAACATATTATTAGAAACAAGGTTAATAGCCCAACTAAATTCTAAAGTTGTCCTTCTTTCTCAGGCATGGACAGGCTCAGCCATTACAAAGTGCCTGCTTGACTGCTGAAAAGTGTGTTTGCTGACAGGTAACCTAGGCTTAGGGAATACTCTGGTAGCATAGGAGGGAATAGTTGGGGGGCTGTGTAGAGGAAGGTGAAGGTTTCAGGGCAGCTGGAATACTATCTTACATCAGTAAATATAAAACCCGTCAAGGACTTCTAGGAAAGGAGGTGAAGTTCCAACAACTTCGGTCCTCACAGAGGTGAATCTAAAAGCCAGCCTCTGAAGCAGCACTGAACTCCTCCAGCCTTTGCTGTACATCACCACACGTCCTCACTTACAAAACCTGGCTTGGTTTCCTATTCATTTTTCAATGATGCATTTTAGAATTCCACTTGGTTGAATGAGATCAGTCAGAATTCCAACCCTCTGAAATCTTAAGAAGGGCCCTCTGAATACAGGAGATTTTCTTAGCCCTGATAATATACTTTTACAAAAAGAAACTAGACCAGGAGTACCACATTAAAAATTCATGCAAAGTCATAGAAAACATAACCTTACACATAGCTCACAAACCACATGTAAATTTCTTCCACATGTGAATCCTTCTAAGTAGTTGTATTTTTTTAACATGATGGTTTCCTTGGGAGCTCATCAGAGAGCCCCAGGACTGTCATGTTAAACCAGATGGGTGATGGTAATGCCCTCCCAATATCCCTTCACAGCCCTGCTGCCATTCTCCCTCCCTCCCACCTGCTCCTTCTCCAGGCCACCACTTAGAACCTAAAAGTTACAGGAAAGCCCAATACCTCAAAATAGCATTTATGAGTCTGGCATTCACCCAGGTGAAAATAAAACTGTTAAAGATGAGAACCATAACATTATCCTTCTGCTAACACTCTTGCATAGCTTGCCATGACTCTCATTATAAAGATAAAAATTCTAAACTTGGACTACAGGTCCTGGCAGGTCTACGACACCCTCTCCCACTAGTCTTTCCTGCTCCTCCCTCATTATGTTCTCAACCCCAAACACGCTGGGCTTTATTTCTAGCCCATAAACACCTGTATTAGTTACTTCTCTGTTGCTGTGATAAACTTCCCTAACAGGCAATCGAAGAGGAGTATTCAGTTTAATGGTTCCAGAGGGTAAGAGTCCATCATGGCAAGAAGGGATGTAGCAACAAATTACAGGAGTGGCAACAAGACAAGGTGGCTGACACCCCCATGTTTTTAAAGGAAAGCATGAAGAGAGCGCAAACTAGAAGTGACATGAGGCTTTAACATCAAAGCCTCCCCCCCAGAGATGTGATTCCTCTACCAAGGGTGCACCATCTAACCCTCCTCAAACAGTGCCACTGACTGGGGAATCATATATTCAAATACAGTAGAGTATGGGGCAGTCTTCCATTAATTTCCTATATTGTTTTGGTGAATCTTTGCAGCCCTAGTTTGCTCACATAAAATACAAGATATCTGGCTAGAGAATACTGACAAACTCATTCAGCCATACTAGACTACACTTGGAAATGTGGGGTTCAGTCTGCTTTATTTACACTGTAGTAACAGTCATGTGAGCCCTGTAAACACAGCTAAGTTGTTAACTGAACAGTAACATTTTAGGCTATTTTAACCTACTCCTACTGGTGTGCACATAGTCCAAACATTTGATTATGACCAAGGGCTTGCTTACTGTGGTGGTTTAAAAGAAAACTGTTCCCTATGAGGCTCAAGTATTTGCACGCTTGATCTGCAGATGCTGCAACTGTTTTGGAGATTACAGAACATTCAGGATATGGACCCTTGTGGGAGAAGGCACTTTACTGGGGAGGCATTAAGAGTTTCTAGTCTCACCCTGCTTTCAGTTCCATCGCCATCACTTCCTGTATATGGATGGGATGTGACCAGTCAGATGTTGGGCACCCTGCTGTATCCGTTTGCTCCATACTCCTTTGAAACAGGATCTCCCTCTAAAGATGAAGCTAGGTTGTCCACCAAGATGATCCAGCAACCTTTCTGTCTCCACCCTCTACAACATTGGCTTACAGACATTGTATTACACTCATTTTTTTTCTCTCTTTTAAATGTGAGGCTTGAGTATTTGAGCTCAGGTCTCCATGATTACACAGCAAGCAGGATGGTGCTACCTGCTGAACTGTGTCCTCAGCTCAGAAATACTCGTTAAATACTCCCATCCCTGTGTCGTGTGTGTGTGTGTGTGTGTGTGTGTGTGTGTGTGTGTGTGTGCTCACAAGTGGAAGCCAGAAGTTAATGCTCATGTTTTCCTTCATCTTCTGTCATCCTGACTGATAAAATAGTTCCCAGTGAACCTGGAGCTTGCTGGTCTGGTAAAGATGGCTGTCAAGTCCCCAGTATCCTTCTGACTCTGCACTACAACACTGGGATTACAAACGCTTGCCACCAGTGTCCAGCCTTCATGTGGGTGCTCGGGAATCAGACTTGGTCCTCATCTCTGTAAAGCCATCCAGCCAGTCTTTCAATAAATAATTTACATCAATGTTTCCCAAGTAATTTGATCCATGGATGCTTTTGTATGTGTTATTGTTAAATATAAACTTTATCAATGTAGATCTAGCTATTATAAAACACACCAGTTACTCTTGGAACACTTTGGCTATTATGTAGCTCCTTAACTAACATGTCACAGAGACTTTTGTAAATAAAATTAGTACCAATATTGCACATATGACCAATTTTTCAAAGTACTTTAAAAAAAAAACCTAGTCATTTTCTCTTTCATATTGTTATTGGTCACCTGGTATCTATTGGCTTTCTCAGGAAGAAACCCAGAGTTTGCCATTTTCTTTTACAATCTCTAAATTACATGATACAGAAAGGTTGTACTTGATAGAATATTTTATATGTTTTTTAGCTAGTCATTTATTTATATAGGCACATAGTAGTTATAAATGCCAACAATCTATTTAGAGAAGTTAACATATGTCATATTATGGCTTTAAATATCAGTAAAGTATTTACATAGTATCAATCATATTAGTAACTCATTGTCGTAATGATACTAGTTCTTAACCTCCAACCAAGCATAATGCACAACATATGTGTGCAGATAAAAGATAAGGCTCATGGCACAGCCTCAGGTAAAAAGATCATTTCTAACCTCATGGTACCCTTGTAGACTAAGGGCTTGGGACGTATAGATATATTGGTATTGGGCTGGGCACAGCTACATCTATCCCTTGGAACAGGGAGAATTTAAATTGGGGTTTCTTTTCTTGCTGGGATTTGCCAAGGGTTTGTAACTCAGTGGATGTTGCATTTCCACTCTAGGATGTTGCATCAAATTACATTTGAGTGGAACGACAACAGCAAAGATCATGAGTGTAACACGGTCACTGCACCGACCATTTGTCACCTAATACAACCTTCATGGAGTTGTGTCACTGCACCACTTCAGTATCGAATATATGTATTTTTCATGTTTGGCCAAGAGTTAGACAGGGCATAGAGCTCCAACCATGAAGACTAAAGTCATGTTTGATTTTTATTACTAACAATTGCCCTACACAAACAGACTGCAAGAAATAGCTTTGTGCGGGGGGAAAAAATAAGAGTGTTTACAGATGTCTTTGTTGCATGGATGTGGATCTTCAACTGTGTTTGTAGCAGCATTATTTATAATAGCAAGAACCTGAAAGCAACCTAGATGCCCCTCAACTGAAGAATGGATAAAGAAGATATGGCACATTTACACAATGGAATACTACTCTGCAGAAAAACAAAACAAAAACCATGGAATCTTGAAATTTACAAGCAAATGGATGGACTTGAAGAGACCATCCTGAATGAGGTAACCCAGTCACAAAAAGAGGAACATGGTATGTACTCACTTATATATGGATTTTAGACATAGAACAAAGGATCACCAGCCTATAATTTCTCTGCCAGAGAAATTAGAATACATGGAGGATTCTAAGAGATTCATACAAGGTCCCCCAAAGAAGGGGAAAGGAACAAGATCTGATAATATTGGGGGTGGTGGGGGAGTGAGTAGAGACAGGGCTAGGAGAAAGAGAAGGGGAGGAGAGGAAAGCACCTGGGACTAGGAAGATTGAGTCAGGGGAGGAATAGACAAGAGAAGAGAGAGAGAGAGAGAGAGAGAGAGAGAGAGAGAGAGAGAGAGAGGACATAAAAGAGCCATTATAGGTTTCAAGAGAAAACTGACTCTAGAGAAATGTCCAGAGACCTACAAGACTGACCCCACCCCCAACTAACAATTTGAGCAACAGTGGAAAGGATACCTTAAATGTCCTTCCCTGATAATGAGATTGATGACTAACTTATCCACCATCATAGAGCTCTCACCTAGTAACTGATGGAAACAGACACCCACAGCTAAACACTGAGCTGAATGGAATCCAAATGCAGAGAGGGAGGACAAGACCAGGCTACAGAAACCCACAGAGACAGCTGACCTGAACAAGGAGGAGCTAGTAGGCCCCCAGACTGATAGTTGAGAATCCAGCATTGGACCGACTCAGACCCCACGAACATGGGTCTCAGTTAGAAGTCCTGGGCAGTCCAAGGGACCTCTGACAGTGGAACCAGGATGTATCCCTGGTGCAGGAAAGACTTTGTGAGCACATTCCCTATGGAGGGATATTCCCTTAACCTAGAGGCAGGAGGGAGGGCCTAGGCCCTCTCCAAATGAATTGACAGATTTAGATGACCCCTCCAGGAAGGCATCACCCTACATGTGGAGTGGGGAGGGGATGGGATGGGAGGGTGGTCAGGGGGCATGGGAGGGTGGAAGAGAGGGAGGGAGAGACGGACAAAGAGGGCACTGGGATCGATATGTAAAATAAGAAAAATAAATTTAAAAACTTAAAAAAATAAGAGTGTATAGGTAATGTGTTACCTTGTTTTTGATAATTCTCCATCAAATATATACCTAGTCTTTT